AAGAAAGTTGTGATATAGTTTTACAATAATATAGATATACAACAAATATGAAGTTAGGAGTGCATGATGATGGAAGCATTGTTTTTGCCCTACATTGTTTTAGACGTCCATGAATAATATAATATAATGCTGTATTATTATTATTCTTGTGTTTGATAATAAATTTTAGCTTGTTTTTTGAACGATTGGTAAAATTGGATGGATTTTAAATCTTCGTTCAAATTATTCCAAATATCTACTCCTTTACTGGAGAGAGTATGTTTCATATAATTAGTTCGGGTGTAGGTTTTATGTAGTTTTTTGGAACTTCTAGTATTGTGATTATGAATTTCATTATTAGTTTTGAAAAAATTGTTGAAAATTTCGGGCATATTGCTCATGTTGTAAAATTGAAACATAAATAAACTGGTCAAATAATCATTTATTTTGTAAATATTTAATAGATTTAATTTTTTGAATAATGGTTCCGTGTGCTCAGAATACGGTTTGAAAGTGATTAGACGCACAATCTTCTTTTGGACACTCATCAATTTTTGCAATTTGGAAGGGTACGTGTTCAGGTCAAGATCAGGTTAAACATAGCATTGCCTTGCTCTGGTCAAATAAACGTCCTAGCCTCCTTCCGTAGCTAGGTAACTCTGTATAGCAAACGGAGGAATTAGATAGAATACAGTTTTTAGCTAAGCAATCAAATTATCTTTCCTCACACTCGAGAAAAGCCCACGTCCCGCGACCCTCGCGGCAGTCAAGCTCGACGTGTTTTGGCATAGACACGACGATATAATCATATTTCTGGTGGCAAAGGCGTCGAGACAGTAAGTTTTGTCTGCCGTCGTAAACCAAGCTCGCCGTGCGATGGAAAACAAAGCCAGGGTGGCTGATAAAGCTTTAATACAAGTTATCTTACAAGAATACCGTGACCGTTCGGTAGATTCAATCACTGGGCCTACAGCCATACGTAAATACGAAGCCGCTACGGGCAGACATCGAGTTTGGCCGGGCTTTGCTTCAGACATTTTGAAAAGCAAACGCGACCATGTTTCGTCTAGAAGGGATCTAGACAGTGCCTCATTCACCACAGCGCGTTTGCTTGCCCCGTCTGGAGTCGCCGCAGCGCGAAGAAGACCGAGCAAAGTTAAACGGACATTGTTAGATGGAATCCCAATCGCATGTTTTAATATCGGTGGAGAAAAAAGGCTTTGTTTTGAACAGCTTTTAACGGAGGTACTAAAAGAGTTCACCTTAAGCGAAGTGAACAATTCGCGTGATCACTTGAAGATATATTGCCCTAAATGCGACGAGGATCAACTAGAATCGCTAAAACTCTCAAAAACCGTTCCCTGGTCAGACTCTTCTTGTCTTCTCATCACCAAAAGCGATGCGTACCGACTCTGTAGCGCTCTACTCGCGAACAAAGCGCCTCAAAGACACGATAAAAAGTACACAAAACCGTTCCTCGATGTCTACCACGAATGTTTTGGTGGTTGCGAAGGAATTTTCGAGCCAGAAATTTACAACGAACCTCACGCGAAATGCGTTACGTGTTTAGAATGTTATCGGATGTTTTCGCCGCGAAAATTTGTTACACATAGTCATGCGACGACGGAAATTCAAACCTGCCATTGGGGTATGGACAGCTCGAAATGGCGCGACTACCTGTTACTACCAGACGAAAAAGCAGACGACGAATTGATTAAGGTAGGCAAGTTTTGATTTTCTTTGTCCCCTCTTAATTCAACTCTATAAATACGGTCTGCGCTCAAGCTTACTTCGTCCTATCTCGATATAAACCGGACTTTTAAAGATTTATCTTGGTATTATTATAGATTGTCTCGGCTTGCATATGTTATAATATAGTCGGTTCGGTTTAGCTAGCGAGATTACTTAACTTTTTCTAACCGGTCTGATTAATTTTTTAACCCCGGTCTTTCGTCTCGTGTAAACGCGATTAAGGAGAACACTATGACCGAAACGACATCGTTCACATTGCTGCCGCGTATTTATAATAATAGTTATATATGTAATGCATGTTTTGCCTTTGCCCTTTGGCTTCTGTGATTCCTGCAAAATATAGTAGTTGTCAAATCATAATTTCATAGTTTTGCCTTAGACCCTTAGTTGCTTGTGAAGAGTGATTCTACACTCTGATCAGAGACTAAACACCGCAAATTTTCTCCTGCCCGTGTAGTCTCAGAAATACGGAATCCGTTCAGCATATACAAATGTGCTCTTCATGCATGGAGCCGTGCACACTAGAAATATTTACAAAGAAGAGTAACGTTATAAGTATCAACTATAATATAATGATACTAACTATAATGATCATGCACAAACAATTATGTTTGTCTTAAAATGTTATTAAAAGTTACTACAGCACAGATGCAACAGGACAGATCTTCTCTAGGTATAACTCAGTCAAACAAAGGTCTTGCATGTGACAAATTGGAAATTAGTCCTTACGGAGTTACGGCTTACTGGACAGTTAAGAACTAATTGAGCTATGGAGTATAAATAATGTTAGCCCTGTAACCCTGTTTACTAAACTAACCTCGACACTAATCTTTTAATGGTGGTTGTATATGACTATATCAGCTCAATTAGCCTTCATGCTTAAAGTGTTCAGCAAGGGCCATGCTTATATTCTGAAGCTTTACCTCAGTAGTACGATTAAAGGAAATGCTAATCAAAATAACAAACATCGCGCATAAAAGTACAAGTATAAAACGTGCATGTCTTGGATTTTCAAGGTGTTTTCATCTTTCCGTTCCGGTTTTTGTACTATACTTTATTACAAATATTTGGCGGCTGGTTCTGGCTTTTAAGTTATGCCGTTATTGCCGTACGCTTGACACTGTGCCCGCATGAAAACTCTGTTTACATAAGATCACGCTAATTCATTCATCTAATTCATGTCCTATTTCCACAACTCATCTCATTAGACATTACTCAAGCGAAGATCTAGAGAAGTTAGCATGCAGTAGCGAGCCCTCTCTATCATCTATCCAACATTATCGTACGCAGAAGCTCTAGTATAGAAGCAAGCGTTAAGAATGGCATAATAAACTTTATCAATTATTACAGCGTAAAAACTACTCACATAGTAGTATGAGAAAAGAGAATATTTTTAACCTGATCTAATAGTAAAACAAATATTAAAATAGTTTTTTATACCACATAATTCCATGATTAATTTTGAGCAATCTATAGTATATATGTAAACTATATGTGAACCAAAAGTTTACAATGTTTTTAATTAAAACTATCTATCTAAATCTCATGTGATTTATTGATTGCATTTCACAGAAATTATGGGAGGACGTAAAGAAACGCTTCTTTGGCACGATACGCAAACGTAAGCTGTCGAATTCCGAAGCGGAAAGCGTAGCAGAGAGCGAGTGTAGCGAGAGTAGCGCAAAGAAACGAAACTTTTTAACGTATGCCGTCTCGCCAAGCGTCGAACGTCCAAGCGGAACGCCAAGTAGTTCCGTCAGTTCGCCAAGGGAGCATAACGAAGCGAGTAGACGATCTGCATTTCGGCCGTGGTCTCCTTTAGAGGAAAAACACCGTGTCGAGGCCTCGAGCAATAACAGTCAGACACTAACAACATCAAGCCCGAGTCATAGTCTGTTCATACAACCCTCGTCGCACGCGATGCAATCCTCGTCGCATTCGATACAAACCGCATCGCATCCAATACAACCCGCTTACATTTCTAGAAACTGTGCTTGCCCACCGGCACCGTATTCTGCGATGAATGGCTATGTAACACATTCGACGCCGATAAAAAGCGAATACTCCAGCGTAATTTGCTCACAAGCTGTAATTTCACACAGCCCAAAATCTAGATCCGAAAGCCCGCCAAATGAAACGGCTGTAATTCAAGATTTCGCCTCTCCGGAGCGGGTTAAACAAGTACTATCCAAGTACTGTCAACGTGGAAATTTGCCGTCAGTAGACGAACTTAGTTTTGCGTTGGCAAAAGAGCTGCAGGAATGGAGCTACGGGCAATCGCGAGTTTTGAATGAATTAAAGGAGAAAGGAGAGAAACTACGCGAGGAAATGAACACTCTACGACGTGAGAATACGACGAAACTCGACTCCGCTTGTGAAGAATTGAAATGCTGTCAGGAGAAGCTTGATCAACTGAACAGGTATGAGAAATTTAACTCGATTATTTATATAATTACATGATGATGTACAGGGTAGCTCTAAACTGATCTCCGTAAGAGATCAACTCTCATTGGTGAAACCCATACTATACCCTATAATTTTTATTTTACTTGACTGGATAATTCCCAGTTTAATAAATAACCAGGTGGTCCGGAAGTGCAATCCTGGATATCTAGTTAGTCTTGCTATGCAGGATGAAACTAAGTTAAACTAACTTTATTTATATATATAATAATATTGAATAGCTCTATCAGAAACAAAGTATCAGTTCTAGACTCTTTTCCCGGGCTATAGGTGTTTTTCTAGACGTCCCGCATATTAACATCTCCAATGTGGTTCTAGCACCAACGGCCGTGGGCGTTACTGGCACACAAAAATAAAGGATAACAGATCAGAACGGATAGAGCTATTCAGTATAAATAAAGCTAGTTTAGTTTCCACCTGTAATAACACTACAATATAAACCAATTAATAAGGCCAAGGGATTGTCGTTGTATATTGGACCTCCAGAGAGAACAGCTTAGAAGCACTGACGAGAGCTATTCTGCAGTGTAAATAATGTTAGTTGAATATAGATATCTCCTGAAGTAAAACAAGGGCCTAGAACCATTTACCTGTAGAAAGAAATGGTTGAGCTATTTGTATGGGTGATAGTTTGGTTTAGAGTGCCATTTGGAAAAAAAAACATGCACGAGTCAGTTTTTCAAAGACGGTCAACATTGCACGTCGAGTCCGAAGGTCGAGTGCATGCTACTTTTGCTATTGAAGTGTGTACTCTAAAAACACCCTGGTTAAAAATTTTCTGATTAATCTAAAATTAACTCTGTATACGCTTGGATCCTGCCTGGTTAAATTTCCTGGTTAATTTAACCGTGCAGTCCTGGTTAATTTAATCACAGTCCTGGTTAATTTGATCACTGTTGTTGCTAATTTTACCATGATTCCTGGCTAATTAAGCAGGCTATATAGTTGAATTAACCAGATTATGTTATAGGTGGATTATTAGCCATGCTGGAATTCTTGGTCACTAGTCCATGACCTAACGTAATCTGTTTAATTCAACCATATATAGCCTGCTGCCAGGAATCCTGCATGGTTAAATTAGCCAGGACTATGACCAAATTAACCAGGGCCGTGGTTAAATTAACCAGAAAATTTAACCAGGAACATTAAGTCACCCCAACAGTGTTAATTTTAGATTAACCATGCAGGAAATTTTTAACCAGGGTGTTTTTAAAGTGTACTTTCGTCCGAATTGCATGAGGGCCCACAAGAAGAACCATTTGTTAATTATAATATTTGTGGTGTTACTCTGAGTGTATATCCACACCGGGCGAGCTTGAAAAATATGCCCGGCCACGGTGGGATTCGAACCTACGACCTTTGGAATACTAGCCCAATGCTCTT